GTGCTGAACATGACGGATAGTTACAAAAATTTAGTGATTAAGATTTTGTCTGAGATGCTATGGAGTTTGATTCATGTAAACCCACGCTTTATCCTCAAAACAGATGACGATGTTTATGTTCATGTTCCTCGACTGCTATCATGGCTGGATAATTATGCAAATAATAATTATGCAGGGGATAAATTATACGGTGGTTTCGTTAGTGGTGACAATGGTCCAGTAGTACGAGCAAAGGAATCGAAACACTGCGTTGCTAGAGACTGCCTAGCTGAAGATTTTTATCCTTCTTACTGCATAGGTGCGTTTTACATTATTTCCACGGATGTTCTTCCTTCTATACTAGAAGCAGTAGAAAGAAGACCTGTGTTCCCTGTCGAAGATGCCTACATAGGTGTCTTAGCCAAAGAAATTGGCCTTCAACCGGTGGATATACCCGGTTTTTATTTCAGGAAAAAATTGGCAGACTATCAAAGGTGCGATTTTGCTTCGGCAATGGCTATAGGGCATAGTTTTAAATTGATGGAGTTTTTTTTTGTGGCAGAGAACATGGAACAGACAAAACAACTTCCAGAAAGTTATTTGAAATGTTTATTGATGTATGAATGGGTGGGTTTTATATTTCTTTTAATATCCCTGATTATTTTGGTTTTTCTTGCGATTGTTTTTTGTAAAATTGTGATCACAGCTGAGAGGGTAAATAGTGCTTTTTGCGCGCTCTGACTGGCTAGATAGGGTGTGATAAGCAAGTATTACATATCTACCTCCGAGCACCCGAAGAGATAAAATCACGCGTCAACAATTTATTAAATTTGATACAAGGCGATAAAACAGATAGCTAATGTTTGAGAATAAAAGACAAAGGTGTACTGGGAAATACTAAAAAGTCAATGTGTAACACAATGAACGTTTTTGACGGTGAAGAGGCTAGTTAATACAAAAATCTTCATTAGGCTTCTTTGCTGTAAATATCCACGGCCAAGCGGTTTACACATCCCAGTTACAGGTAGACGGTAGGATCTGGGTCCAAGATTATATTCAAGTATATGACAAATTAAGGATATCTTTAATTACGAAGTCATAGATTACTATTATACAACTGCACTAAGTAAGGTAAAGATAATGCGCGAAACGAGTGCATTATTTTGTTTTAGTCGGGGAGGGGGGGGGATATTTGGTCACGTGATGCGTTTTGACCAATCGTGCACAAGCAAAAATAAATGTTTGATTTTTAGCCACGATAGTGTACGGTTATTTGTTTTAATGCAAAATAGGTTGGCTCAGCTGGCATTAGGTGTTTCAAAGAGATGCATATAAAAAGGAGCCCATTACTAAAGGATAATGGGTTCCTGATTTAATATAAAGCAGTAAGATATTGAATAAGTTATTAGACACTTCGGTGTGTGTTATCCCTTAGTATTCTTAGGAACTGTGCCATATTGTAACGAGCCCGTAAGGCGGGTCAAAATACAAAAAAAACTCGTTAAAATACCCAGAAATACCACACACCAAAATGTCTGATAAGATATATTTACTAACACCTCGCATTTTGACTTAACCCTTTAACTCCCATGAGTGACCAAGACAGAATTTCTCCTTACAATATCAATACAATATCAAGCAGACAAGTGATGAGAATAAAGAAAAATATTAATTAGGAGATTATTAGTTGATCCAACACCAAATTCTCCAAACTAACATCACAAGAACTATATGGCAGATAGTAGTTTAGGTGAATTACTAGTGAGATCTTGGGAGTTAAAGGGTTAAAACTGACAGTCTGCGCATACTAGGTAATAAGCTGGAGGGACATACTAAGTTTTGATAAGCAATTGAAAGGTCTTTTGTCTCCGCTGTATGCCCTCAACTGCGCTTTAAACGCAGATGACAGTGCAGCTATTGGTTAGAAATGTTAGATTCTTTCCCTTGATATTCCAAGTATCACGCCCGGAGACAGTAGGATGTGTGTGTTTGCTACTGAAGTGAGAGAAGAGTAGTAAGTATACACGATGGGTTTTCTCCTTAATCCACAAAGAGGAAAGTGTTGTTCAGTCTTGAATTGGTCGCCCATTATCAGATTAGAAGGTTTCACGTATCACCAAGGCAATTGCTGAATAAATACTGAAAAAGAAAGAGAAAGTTTCTTTCATTTCAACATAGAAAATTGCTTGTAACCAAGGTGGTAAGCGTACTAGTGGAAAGAGCGTGAGTTTCTAAGGACGCACGCGAGAGAAAAAAACAAAAAGAGGAGAGAAAACAGCTGGTTTACAACAACTCAATAAGAAAAAAAAGGAGATTACCCATGTGAAGAATATGCTAGAGATGTAAACTAACTGTTGGAAAGTGTATTGCATGATTTATCTTTAGTAATTTTCTAAATCATATCTACGTTCGTTCCACGTCTGGATCGACTGCGCATAGCACTGTAGTGATTGTAACTGGGTTGCCCGTGCGAGCGCGACCCTCGGGCATCGTGCGCGAGTGAGCAATAAAGATTCGTGTTTTACTCAGAAACAAACCAACAAACGAGAAACAGGAAAAATAAACAGGAAAGCTCCCTGTGAAAGCTCCCCTGCGAAATTCTAATAAGAGAATTTCAATATCGATCACTTCTCCACGCACCTTATTGGCTCTATTGCGCTCGAACAGTCGGAAGCTGAAACCAACGCTGCTCTTTACATCTACCACACTGTTCATCAGTTCACAGGCCCTCTCATTCTCGTCATGCTTTCCAGAATACTGATAATTATAAGCCAAACATCTGGGAATCCGAAGGCAAAGATCCTCGCATTGAATTTCTGATACAACAGACTGGTGGTAAATCACGTGACCCTGTAGCTGTTTGTCCCGAACACGTTCTCTGCTGATGGGTAGAAGTTTTTCGAGATGGCACTCCGAAGGCTGGTCAGTTGTTGTAAATGTTGGTGGTATATCCGTAGGTTTCGGCGCCTCTGCAACAAATTCAAAGAGAATTTGTTTTTATTATCTACAGTGGCAAATGAAGTTCAGACGCTTTTGTAAGCAGGTTCTCTAGAAGCAGAAAAAGCGTCCATAACTGAAGCTAGTCGCATACGAGAATTTATAGGTTGAACATTCGCATGGGAGCATCGATTAGGGCGCACGGTTTATGGGAAACACTGCACAGAGGGTACAGAGTTTTGTATTGCAACCACACTCACTGTTTTTAATGAACTTAATGAATTCTTGATTGCGTTGTAATCATTTAGGAGAACTGTCGCCGATTCTTTTGCCCCGCACACATGCATTTGAAGTGAAAAGAAAAAATAGAAAAAATTCTCAAAGGTTTTTCCGTTCGCCTTAACCTCGAGCCATCTTCTCAACCAATCAGATGTGGTCTGACAAAACCAATCAGTCGCTACTTGGCCTTAGGCAATATCTAATGCTTGTCGTTAGTGGCGTGTCAAGTCGGCGATACCCTGATACGACCTTATAATCGTCCAGGGTTTCTTGATAACCTTTTTCTTCTTCTTCGATGGAATCTTAAGATTTAGTTTAGCTTCATTCAAACATTTTTGCCTTTACTCACCTGTCGGAACAGGACAAAAGTTGCATGTCTTTTGGCATTGGTACACAGCATAGTCGGAAGTCCTTTTGCATTTGCCAGTGGTCTTCCAAATCCAACAAAAATAACCTCTATCTGAGCAAGATGCTGGCGCCATTATTATATAGGGTATGGAACAAATTGGAACAGTAGGTAACTTGAGACCGTGAATGACTTAGCATGGGAGGGGTAGGGGGAATAGAGAGACGAGAGGAGATAAAAGGGCAGTGGGGTGGGCAGAAATGTGGTTAACATGTTGCTTCTTAGCCGGCACAGCTGGCGTAACTTTGGCGAACTAGCGCTCACTATTATCTTGGTTAAAAAAATTATAATCGCCATCTTTGATTTTTATTTTTATAACAGTAGAAGGCTGGGGGGGGAGGGGGGGAAGGGGGTGAGCGACGGTCAAAAAGTAAGGAGAGGGTGGGGACGGAGCGATAGAAATCTTCTCGTCTTTCTCCACCGCGAGCCTATGATGTTAACTCGCCCCAAAAAGACACCTGTGATACAGGCTGGTTCTCCAATGTAACTAGCCTATGGATGCGCTCATTAATGGATAAAACTGGTGCGTAATACACAGCAGCTTCAGCAATGGTGAGTGAACAATATAATTCAACTTAAGAGTTCTCTGACCGTGCGCTCACGATGGATAGAGCTGGTGTTGAATACATACCAGTTTCAGCCACGATGAGCGCAAATAATTAGGCGAGGTGGAGACTCGAGCGAACAATGCAATTTAATTGATTAGTTTGCTGACCTGACTAGTTTACTGACTACTGACCGATAAACATTGATGAGCCGAAGGCGCCCAAATGACCGAGAAACAAGTAAAAAACTTTTGTAGTTAAGTTTAAGGTTTAAACATCATTTTGAAATTGGACCTTAGTTGTGTTTGTATATAATTAACCGGGAGATCCACAGGCGGGTTAGCAGCAAAGTAAAACAGTTCCTCTTCGATGGAGGGGATGAAATCAAAACTGGGAAAGAAAAATTGAACAAGTTTACCATACTTGCAAATGCCGCCATGTACCACAAACTCCAGCTAAAAACTGAAAAATCAAATAACCAATGTCTTAGAATATTTTTGTTTGTTTGGAAGAAATTATATACATTTTTACAACTCCGGCCTAAATTCATTGATCAGTCATTATTTAT